ATAAATAGGTCTGTTGATGAAACAAGTAAAACCAGGTTCTCTGCAGGCACTGATGAGGACAAATTCACCAGCTTGTGGAAGATGGATCCTTAATTTATCAGCAAGCTACACAAATTGTAGCCCCACAGTAAGCTACTAAAGATCTACCAGTTCAGAAGCACATGTTCTTTACTGACTCCCACTCCCTTGGCATCATACTCTGCACTCTGAGAGGTGAAGACTGAAAACAGGGAATGACATGATGTTTTATTTCTAAAGGAGGAGCTGCTCTGAACTGTGCCATACATAGGGTGGGCAGAAAATTTTTCCAAAGATGGGATAGCACTAGACATCAGTAATAAGTACATAAACCAGATTCTGCAGTACTTCAGTGCTTCCATGGGATTATTCAGCTAAAAAATTACCTGTTTGGCAGTAAGCTGTGTTTGCTAACAAAGTGCTGAATAAATAGATTATTTTGATTTTAGGATCTTTCTTGTCGTTTTCTTATCTCATGTGAATATTTTACTTTGGTGTATTTTAGATGAATCTGGAAATCATGTATTAGACTAGTGCAGGATATAGTTCTCCCCTTCAGAAAGTTTAAAATGGGGGCTTCTCAGCTAACTGAAAGGCGAAAATATGTCCTACATTTCTACAGTATTATTGTTGGCATCAGCATAATAGTTACTGCATTTTTTGCTACAGATGCATCGCACTCAATTTCACACACAACTGTACTTCCCTTTTCTCAAAATATAAAATAAATACAGTAGCTAGAGACTTTAATTGGGAAGTGAACAAACTGCATTCATTCCGATTTCCATTGGACATGGGACCTGCAGCCCCCTGAGCACACACCCACCCACCAGATCCAGCACTGAGGAGTTAAGTGCAAAGTGCATCCCTTGTTCATGTTGCAGTTCCTAAGTCAAACTACCCTGAATTCAGCACTGAGGAAATCAGAGTGAGGATACTCCACCTTCAGTGAAATGAGTCCCATTTTTAGGTTTAGAAAGCTGCACATAAAACTTAGCATTCATTTGTGGTACACTGAGTGCCCACACCTGAAGGGAAGATCCCAGCCCACATAGCAGACTTCACAATTCAACTTTCTTCTTCTAATCTATACACAGTTTTGGCACAGTTAGAAGACAGAGGAGACTTCAGATTTTTTAGAGATTTTCCAGGGCATAGTATATGTAGAATTATGTAAATTTGTTTTGATTGTGTTTTACTGATTTTAACCTGGAGGGTCAAATTTCTGCACAAAATTTCTCAAATGATCCTTGTTTCATTTCTGTAAGATCAGCCACTGGCCTGGCTGAAAACACATTTGGGAGGTCTCTTTTCTGGATGGAGGACAGTCTCAGCCAGTGATCTGTAAAAGGTTCCAAGGTCACTGAAGTTTTTTAGCTTGTTTTCTTGTGTCTTAGGAAGCCTAGAGAATCATGCTATTTATGTCTCTTGTTCTACCTATAAGCAATATTTAAACTTATTTTCTATAAAGTAAATTAAGCTGCTAAGTTTTTCAGATATGAGTGTTTCAGTTGATGAAAAGGATGTTCTGTGAGCTCAGCAGTGCTGTTCTGCTGATGGCTGGTGAACTCACGCATACTGGTTGGCCAAAAAGCATGCTCATAGTTCATTATCAGTCAGGCATGTGTTTGTCAGGTAATGACAGAATCTGGGAAGGCAACAGTGATAATGTGTTTAGGAGAAAAGATCAGAGCATGAGATGAAGAACTGGAAATATACTAGGGCTGCTCCAAAAGTAATGCCTCTGATTTTATTATGTTGGCCCACAACATCAGAGGTGGATGTTGGCAGTATGGCAGTAGAGGCTGAATCTTCCCACCAGTACCCCATTTCAGTCTGTTGCCTTGCAACAGATGTCAGCAAAGGGAGAGTTTGACAAAATGGCATCTGACATGGAAGTGCATATGAAGCAAAGTTTTGTCACTGAATTTCTCCATGTGACAAAATGATACTGATTGATATTCAACTCTTGCAGAACATTTGTGGAAACTTAACAGTGGATGTGAGCACAGTAAGGTGGTGGGTGGTGCATTTTCAGAGGTGGCAACAGTGATAGAGGGTCTCAGATTATTATGAGCACAATATGCAGGCTCTTCTACACTGTTGGTGAAAATGCATAGTTAATGGTGGTGACTATATTGGAAAATAGAGTTTTGTAGCTAAGAATATCCTCTATCAAATAATGTTCTTGTGCTCTTTGAATCTAATGTAGTTTCCATGGAAATAAATAGGAGGCATTACTTTTGGAGTGACCATTAACATAAGAAGCACCAGAAGGAAAAGAGAGAGAATGGTCATTTCAGTAAGACGATAGAAATATAAAGGATATGTTTGTAGAAAATCAGACTCTAGAAGTCCGTCACTCATGGAAAAACTTATTTCACATTGGCAGGTAGTGCTTGAACCTACTGCCTATCTCACTGGAGACCTACTGTTTTTCTGCTGGCACCCTTACGCTTTGTAATTCTAACACAGGAGTGAAGTGTTGACTTCAAATCCTGCACAGATCCACTGACGTTTTTTTCCTTTACTGAATCAGCAGTCAGAAAAAAGAGCCCTACTGCACAGATGATTTGAATAGATGGATAAGTACCAGTGAAAGTATTTGCATAAGGAAAAGAATTATATTTTATAACTCAACATGAGAAGCATAGATTACTTTGCACATACTTATTAAGATTAGTCCATAAGAATTCATTACTGGCATCATACTGCAGAAATTAGTTATTTCTTTCTCAGTCAAAGATAACATGTAAAACTTTGTTTGTACAGCAGACAATTAAGATGGAGGTTATTTCCTAACACTAATGAAAGTTCTCCCTTAGAACCATTGCAAATTTCTAAGGACCTCTAACCTGTCATTTTCTTCTGTTTGGTTCATTGTATTTTGTAACAAAGAAAACTGTACCCGGCTGTGAATAGAAAAAGAAAAACCCTTTCTCAGACAAAAGAAGCAAAAGATCTTTTGTTACAAAAAGTAGCACAACTTCAGAAAAGATATTTCCTAATAGAGATCACTAGACTATTTGACTGTTTTCAGCATGCAGAGGGTTAAGCCCAGCTGAGAATACCAGACATACCTGTATTCATTCCATTTTGAATAAAGTGACAAATTCCTATTCTTGGTCACTGGAGCACAAAATTAGCCCTGTGCTTCAGTGAAAGGTCAACGTGGGAAGAAATAAACAGGAGGTGAGAGGTCATGACCTGTATACAGAACAGCAAAAATGGCTGAATAAAAAAAAAAGTTAATTCTACTGTATGCTGTACTTTCCATATAGTAAGGTCCCGCTGGAAATGTAAAGCAGTCCTAGAATGTTATTCTGGAAAACAGAAAAAAATGAAATGGGCTTATTTTTGTTTATACTACTGTTCTTGTACAGGCCCCACTGCTTTTGTCTATTTTAAACAGCTCCTATATATAAATATTTATTAATGTGATCCAGAATCCAATGGATCTAGGAGGAGTTTAACTGATGAGTCCCAGAGGACCCTTTCACTGTCTATATCTTTCGGCACGATATTCAGTGCTAAAGACCTGGTGACCCCTGAAAACTGCCAAGGAATAGAACCAGTTGCTGATGGGAACAAGAGTCTGAGTCAGATGAAAGGCAATGATCTTGGGCAGCAAACATAGCGATTAGCTCTACTAAGTCTCTAGCACTAGGTTGAAATACTATCTTGTCTGATGCTGGATATTGACACCTTCTAGTCCTAGAGTAGCTAGTCCTAGAGTACCTAGTAGTCCTAAAGAAATAGTCATCTTGTGTGCTCTAGATAGATGTAGTGGACATGTGAGCAGCAGTGGCAAACAGCAAAACACAGGCAATAAAGAGTATTTTATTCAGCCAAAACTGTGTTCAGTGAAACACATCATGTGCTGTGAGCAGTGGATGTGGTGAAGAGAATAAAGCATTCTCAGAGCCTGGGTCATACGGAGGAGAGTACTGGTACCGCTATCCTGTGGATGTCACTCAAACCCTTTCTGTAGTATGCTGCACACATTGGTCTGGGAAGGAAATCAACGTCCCCTTGATTTGGAATTTTAATGAAGAATTATTCTGTGTATCAATATTGCAACAAGGGCCTTGACTCTGGTGCTGGGTCTTGTGAAAATGTTTGTTGTATGAACACTAACTAAACCAGGTCACATGAAGTGAGTGTTTTAGACTACATCAACACACAGGTGTTGTTACCATCATATCCTAGCATGGTAGCTCAAGCTGATTAAAAATATAGCTTTACAGAAAAAAAGTGTACTCTGTACATGCATATGGTTGACAGAAGGCCCAGCTAGGAAAGAACTGCTCAGCCAGAAATAGCTGTCTCTTAAAAAAACAATACAAAATCAAGGTGTTGAACCAAAGAATATCTCCCTGGACAACTTGATATTAATTTGTAGAATATTTGGCTTTGTAAAAAGAGAACATTCAAGAAGGTAAAAAAGTCATTGTTCAGACTGTAATGCTGGGCAAAACCGTTTCTTTTTATTTTCTTTTCTTCTGTTCTTGGGACTTTTCAGGGAGCACTTGTATGAAATGTATCTTCAGCATAAAATGATAATTCATTGCAACCAAAGATTATTTTTGACTGTTTTTTATTTCTCCTGAAATTAAGAGTAAATAAAAAGAAAATGATTGAAAAAACCTGTTGGAACATTTTGAAATTCAAAGTACTTCTCCATATGAAGTTTCTTTTCATTTTATAAAAGCTAAGTATGCTTATGTGAAAGGAAAATGATGAGCACGAAGAAAAAAGATATTGAAATGCATATCAACTTAGTTCCCTTCCAAAAGTTTGGATTTTAATTTAAAATAAATAAATAAATAATAATCATAATCTCAGAAAATGTCTCCAGAAGGAGAAATTGCATCCTGCCAAGTTCTAGTTGTTAAATGTTCTAAGTGCACCTGAATATTATCTCACAAAACATGAGATGCAGAGACTATCTCAAGAAAACAGCATTTCTTCATAATGTACTGTATAGGTTTACCCAAGTAGATTACAAGTAAGCTATCAAAAACACCTAGGCAGGAAATCCTTCCTATTTCTTTGTTGCTTTAGATTCATTATTACCACTTTTTCTGGTGTCTTACCAGTGCTCTGCAAATTTGATGATTATATTTCCTTTTTTTCCCCCCCCATTATTTTGAAATGAATATTTGCATTGTTTGCTTTATTTTCCTCTTCTTTTTGGCTTAATATATCTCATATTAACAACACAGTGTTACAGTGCTATGCCAGTTGGCACTTTGTATTTCAGCAGGTTGAAGAGCAGTATGAGGTCTTTTAAGGAAAATACTTACCCAAATTGACTAGTTACAGTCCTTTAGCAACTGTTTGTACTTATTAGCTTCTATACATCAGAAAACAGAACTGTCCTGAAAAATCGCTGATAGTTCTCCAGTGGTTTCCAAACAATATGAGCCAAAATAGGACAGCAGATACTGCATTCAGGCATACGTCGAAACCTAGAAAAAATATATGGTTGAACTTTGTACTACTAATACTACTTAATTCTGTTTGCACACAATGGTAGGGTTGTTCTTTTGAAATAAAACTAAGCAAAACAAATAATTCTATTTCTTCCCATTTCTGCATGGTAAGTATTGATGAATGCAAATAGCATGCAGATCATTTTATATTATAAGAAGTCCACATGCTCCAATAGAATTCTTCAGTGAGATTTAGATGCATAAATTTATTTTGGGAAGAAGATACAGGCTTGCATATATTCTGTATATTGATGTCTGACTGTTTCTATGCAGTCTGTTTTGTGATTGGCTGCAGAACAGATGATTTCATGTCTATGTGACTGTGATTCTCGGAGGACAGTGAATAGTGATATTCATTTTATACAAGGCTGAGATAATGAAAACAGAGTAGAGTAGAGCTACTAGAATAATTGCTGAAGTTTAGACTGGCATGTCTGGCTCAGAAAACCTGGTGTCCATTTATGCATGCTACTGGAAAGTGATTTTAGTTCTATAACTCTTCAGCATGCTAAGACTGTGGCTTAGATAAGCAATGTTTTTCTCTTTTCCTGTCATTAATGGAGCAAACCCTCTCCAAAGCAAAACTCACTGTGGTTGCCCATGATTTGACTCTTGGCAACTGCAGTGCTCTTTCTATTACTACAGCTTCAGATTATATGGAATTATATGGAAACAGAGAATACAGGTGGCAGCAGATTGTTCAAATGAGATATTAAGCCCAGAGCTCATAACACTTTTTGAGACCTTTTGTGATATGACAGATTCACTAATTCTCATGTCAGTGAGATTGCTCTTGTATGGCTTTTCTTACTTAGAAGGTGGTTAATATCTAAAGGGGAGCTATAGGAAAGAAAGGGAAGACTCTTTAGCAGGGTCGGCGGTGATAGCAAAAAGGGAAATGGCTTCAAGCTCAAAGAGGGTAGATTTAGGTTGGGTATAAGGAAAAGGTCTTTTGCAGTGAGGGTAGAGAGGGACTGGAAAAGGTTGTTCAGAGATGTGGTTGATGTCCCTGGAGATTTTCAAGGTGAGGCTGGATCAAGACCTGTGCAGCCTAACTTAGCTGTGCATGTCCCGGTTCACTGCAGGGGAGTTAGACTAGACTACCTTTAAAGATCCCTTCTAACTCTAAGGATTGTATGATTCCATGATTAACAGCCTTAACATACCAAGGACAAAGGTGCTTTTGTCAGATGCCAAACTGTGCTGGCATATTTGTTCTACGATAGGAGAGCATCTGCAGTGCTTGAGTTTCAGCTACTCCTCAGTCCCACAGGGCAGGAAAGGCTGCTCTTGGTAGTACCAGTGGGACTGCAGTTCATCCAGCACTCTCCTTCCTTCCTCAGTTAGTGGAGAATTAACTTCTGGAAGAGTCTCAAAGGTTTTTCTTGGTAAGTATTCTCTCTATTTTCATCAGTACCTTTGTTGTTGTTGTTGTTGTTTAAAGGAAAGGAAGGTGGAGGAGATGAATATTTGACCTATTGTTTTTGATGCTGATACAGTAGAATTTAAGGGGGCTCTGTTTTAATCATGCTTCTTAAGTTGACCTAGGAGCTGCAAGCAGCTGATTTGCAAACATTCATTAGAAGTGAATGCCTGTGATTTCATCATTAAGATACCTAACCTCTGATATATTACAGAAAGATAACAGTCCTCCTCAAGCCTATCCCTATGTGAAGGGTTTATCTTTGTCAAGAGTATCAAAATAAGCTATTAAATAAGAGAAAATCCTGAAATAACGAGTCAGTTGTTGTTCTGATTGTATTCAACAGCCTGACAGTTGTTCATCACTGAATTCTGGGAATCTGGTCAAGTTACATAAACAAAATGGTATTGTTTTCTTCAGCTATATTGGTGTATTACTTATTTAATTGAGCACTGAAAGGAAATGGTATAAGAGAAAGAATAATGCTGTAGGGAAACTGAGGTAATTTGTCAGTGTTTTCTGCTGGATAGTGACATTCAAAAAGCTGATTTTTCCATGTGTTCACATGTTTAAAGGTCTATACTTTACACTGAAGACAGCATCAATGTCTGGAATTAATATACAGATTAATATTATTATCTTTTTTTAATGGATTATTTGTTTTGCTATAACAAAAATTTGTTTTAATGACAGTATTAATTCAGTATTACTGAAGTTTCTAGATAAAAGGAATTAACATTTACTACACTGTTTGAAATCATGTTTTAATGTCATCCTTCTACACCCATGGCTAATGCATAGTGATGTTTAAATGTTGGTAGCTTTATTATACTGATTTAACAGTTATTTATTACAAATCTTTCTAGATTTACAGGGAGGAAAAGCTACAGAGTACCATAAAGTAGAGACAATAATAAATGAATTGTGAAATTTACTTTTAAAGTATAATTTTACTTTATGCATTATTTACACAAAAAATAAAGTATATAGTATCGAACCAGAAGTATTGATATACAAGTAGTTTCTTGTAACAAAGGTAAAGGTATTAATTATCAATTAACAAAAATTGCTACTAATAAGACTGGGGGAGGGGCAGAGAAAAATTGGTCAGGAAAAGCTGACACTTACAATGTTCTGTAAATTACCAGTATTTTTTTTCTTACATCTGCCTTAGATTATATGAAAAAAGGTACCAGGAACATAATTACTAAATACATCTAAGATAGAAACTCTTTTGTTTTTCTTTTAATCATTTCAGGGAAGAATATTAATTCATTGGAAGATTTTTGCCCTTTTCTACATGTAACAAGTAAAATTAACTAACAGCTCAATTATTTCCTTAAAGAGGAATCTCCCCTTCCCATTGGCGTGAATTCGGTTTAATTTTTTCTTCAAATATCTTCTATTCTAATATCAATCAAATATATTTTCAGTGCATAATCAGGAAATCCTTGTAGAAGGAAAAACAAGTTGTAACTGATGTCAACTACAGTGGCTTACTTATAACCACAGCCTATCATATATGCAACCATACTAATGATCACAGGTTGACTAAGTAAATGGAAAAGTATATAGCTTCAAACCAAGGTAGTAGTAAAGGAAATAAAGTTGAGGAAATTATGAATATTTAATCATTTATTATATAAATGATTGTAAATTTATTATAATAAATAAATCATTTATTATATAATTATAATTATATATTTATTATATTATATAAAATTATATTAATTACACTAAATTGGAACGCATTGAGTTGTATTGTTGTGTGTCCTTTCCCAGCTGTGACTCTTTAATGAACTCTGCTTAATAGTTTTTAAGAAAACCTATATGCTAAATTTTCCAAAATAATGCCTTAAGTTATCTTCTTTCAAATTAAGCACTTTAATGAGCGTCTGCTTTTCAGAAGTGTTCTTTCCACTGACTTGGAGGGGAAAGAACAATGTCATATGATTTCAGTAGAAATCAAACTCTTGTAGCAATAATTAGACAATAGTTGTTTTCAACTTATGCTAACAGTCACAAGTTTTCATCCACGGCAAAAATAAATAAAGGCAGGAAATTGCACATTATGGAGTTAGAAAAGAAATATAAGAAAGCAAACAAGCAAATAACACTTCCTTGTACACATCCAATATTTCTTCAAGTCCATTTATCCAAGAGCAATACTAATTCATGTTAGACATTTTGGCCTGAAATTATCTAAATATATCCTGTATCTAAGAAGGAGATACTGTGCTTGTCTCTGTTGAAAAGATCTTTCTGTATCTTTTTTTTCAAATAAATACTCCTTATCTTTACTCACTTGGAAGAAAAGGTTTGAGAAAATCTTTTACTTTTTACGACTTTGTCATATTTTTGTTCACCAGATGAGAATAGCGAGAAAAGAAGATGTGATGGGTATTTCAGCTGTCTTCTGGAGATCAGATCAAGCACACTCCTTGTAAAATAAGTCTTTTCATTATATGAGTAAAGAAATCTGCAAGAAAGGAAGTTACCTTTGACAGAGATTTTATGGTAGATAAGATTAAAGAAAGTGATATCTCTTATTTAATTATTCTTTCAAAATTAGTCTGTGTACATACAAAAATGTCCTGGTGCAATGAAAATATTATGGATTATTCATGAATACACACTGACCCAATCATCTTTGGTAGAGCTCTCAAACAAGTAAAGCCCCAGTTATAGCATAATAATGTCCTATTTTATAGCTGAAATAAGACAGGATTCTTGTGTATGTAGATTTAGTGGCACAGTTCATGCAATTCAGTTTTTATACCATGCATGCAAAACAACATGGTAAAAATAGAAATACATTATTATTGTTGTTGTTGTTATTATTATTATTATTACATGACTCGGTAACCACAAATCATCATTACTAAAAAATGAATCAACTACCCTCTGGACACAGACTTTGAGAGATGTGTCAGTAGGTAAAATCCACTCTACCTAGTGTAAAGGCAATTATCTATCACCCATAATGAAAACATATACAATGTGTAGAAGTGTTCTGTTGGGGGACCTGTCTTCAGATGACCTGAGAACCTAAACCTTATTACCTCTCCAAAGAAAACCTTAAGCTAACAGCAAAGTTTTTTACATTTTCTTTGAGTATATGCAAGGTTATTGAAAACATACACTTAATTTTATTATACATTCACTGCAGGGAAAATAATATCTGGAAAAGACTTCCAGCTCAAGTCCACCATGTGTTTTAATAGGATTTAGTACTATGAATTTTAAAATAAAGAAAGCCTGAGGAAGTTCATGACCATTAAGCATGATGGCAGAGTATCTCAAAATAATAATAATTAAAAAAAAAGATTTTGAAAGAATTGGAAATAAGTGCTTTTCCTAAAAATTAACCCTGATATGCACTTCTTTCATCAACAGGATATCTGGAATCTCCTTAATTCTCAGCATAGCTTTCAAAGGTCACTAGCTTAACACGCAAAGGGACAAGGATGCATTGAAGATGTACAAACTCTTTTTTTCAAAAGTATGACATATTTTTGGATTTATTTGTTGACTTTAAAATCTGGGGGAAGGG